GTATTGCAAGTATTACATACAACAATAATAAAACAGTGCATTGACATAAAAAAGGAAATTTACTTTTGGTACTTAAGTACTTTTAAAAGCAAGTACTTATGTACTTTTACTTAAGTAAAAAGCTGTCTTTACAACTTTCACTTGTAATGGAGTAATGTTTGACCAGCGGTATCTGTACTTTAACTCAAGTAATAGAGTTGTGTACTTTTTCCGCCTCTGCCCGTAAGACCTCTGTTCATCTTCGGAACACAAATTAAGATATTTTTGATGAATTTGATGAACGTCTGACCCTCCCATAGACAGCAATGTAATTACCACGATCAAGGTCCAGAAACGTAGCAAGGAGATCGGTAAAATGCTACGAGAATACTTTTTGTACGCAAAGAAAACAACAATTCAACAATTCGTCTCCTCCGCGTCACCCTGGTGCCATTTTAGAGAATATCCACTGAACGTAAACAGTGTATGCTATTCTGTGTCAGCTGCGTCACACGCGTTTTATATGTTGTTTACGCTTTGATTTGAACGAAAACAACGTATCCGCGTGACGCAGCTGACACAGAATAGCATACGCTGTTTGCGTTCAGTGGATACTCTTCAAAATGGCACTGGGGTGACACGGACGTTGATCGTGTTACTTACATTATGACATAATTTTCATTTTTGGGTGAACTATCCCTTTAACACTCATCATTCTGATATTATCAGATAAACAAACTACAAAATTCCCGCTTAACGTTCACAGGAAAACCTACCAAGAACAAGGAAAATCCACCAGAGCCAGTACTGCCCATTGAAGTATCCAGTAAAGTAATCTGAAAACTGAAAAGAAGAATGATACCGCTGAACATTGAGTTTAATAATGATTAAATTCACATTCATAACACACTATTTTATTCATGGTAATTATCACTCAGAGATAACCACAAAGTTTTTTTTTTTTTTTTTTAAGCTTCTTATCCTCCTGTGTGGGTTTCGAGTTTTAACTTACCCGCACAATGAGGATCCATTTGATAAGAGAGAGACCAAAGCCGCAGATGGCACCATATCGGCCTGCAATGGTGTTGGTCAAACAGAAAGACAAGCAAAACCCAATCCAGTTGAACAGAAAGGCCACTGGTTACACAAACAGAAAGAGAATGGTGTATTGATGAATGACAGCAAAAATATATATTTAAAGTACATTTAAATACCTTTGTATGGTAATTGTTTTTATGAGCAGACAAAAAAAAAACTTTGAAACTTGAAAGACTGCTTACATATATCACAAAGATGGTGATGAACTGTTGAAATGAAATCGTGACTAATCATTAAATAAACATGACTGGACTATGATCGGCAGCACTGCAATGTGTTATGCTACTGACTGATCATGATATACAGCAGTGGTCGCCAACCCGTCGATCGCGATCGACTGGTAGATCTTTATCACTGTCCCAGTAGATCCCGAAAATAACAGTAAAATAAGTACAAAAATGCATTACATTTCTGGGGTTATATTAATGTATCACTGAAGGGAACTGTCTTGAGAAAAGTTTCGATGGCAATGGCATTTTCTTCTCCGTATAAAGCGCAGCCCCTGCTGTCAGAGAGTGCGTCTCATTCCGACCTGCTGTTGTTTCGCGCAGATGTTTTATGTAGCAAATAAATAAATAATATACAGTCTATAGAGATACTTGAAGTTCAATACATCACCACCAGATGGCGCAAACACAGCACTAATAACACACAGAGGCTGTGGCTGCATCTGATATCACATGCTCCCCTGAAATGTGCATACAATAGACACTTTACTATCCCATGAGGCAATGGGAGAGGTTTTGTGGCAGTGAATGGTAGTGAAGGGATGCAGCTGACACTGGTATATCACGTGATAATGACAACATGGTGAATGTAGGATGTCCAGATTACATTTATACTACACACATTCATACTATATATAACATCATTTTAAGCGGTCGCAAAGTGCACACTTATTCAAAATAAGTACCTACTCAGAGTATGCAATTTTGGATGCAGCCAGGCTGTTTCTAATGCCATAATATTATACTGCACACTACACAGTATATACTGTCATCTACATATTTGAAAAAAAAAAAAAAAAGTATGTGGAGCAGTATATGCATTATGAAATGCTAAATGCTTTAACCTGTCATATGCTAAAAGGTTTATGAAACCCTAGTAAACTGCACGTTTCATTCAGGCCAGTCACTCTTTTGTAATTAAATATGGTTATTTTGCATTTTACATCTAGTTTTGTGTAAAACTGTAATGCAGTTTATCATGGTTATAATAGTATGCTATTACAAACATACACACTTACTGAAGAAGGCCAGCATGAAGATTCCATCATTTCCCACCCTCAGCTGATCAGCATCACTGAAGTCATCCCGAACCGGAAAATCCTCATCCTTTTCAACAAGTAGATGGATAAAAAGAAATGGATAAAAAGAAGTGTTTTAGAAGCATATTAGAAGGCAAAAGCTGCTGAGAAATCACCATGGTTGTGATGCAACCTCAATGTTTACACATCAGCAACTGGACCAGCCTTGATAAACAACAGTATACTAAAATGATACAAAGACATTAGCCAACCACAACAGAGGTCATTTACTTATAGCAGGAACAGTAGCAGAAACTGTTTAAGTAAGGGTCAGAGAGGTGGAAAATGGTTATGAAAGACTAAATAACTTATATATTGATGTTAAAACCTTGACAAATTATTGCAATTTTCTCTCTACTGAATGTTTTGAAAGAGCTTGTAATTCCTGATTACTTTCCTTTCAGCAAACACTTTCATTCAAAGACACTTCAAGTGCACTAGTCAATCCATTCAGAGCAACCTGAGGTTAAGCATCCAGTTCAAGGGCTAGATATTCTGCACAATTATTAATCGTTTTGCATGCAAAGGGAAAAGTTCACCAGAAATAAATCATAAAAGTAGTCTCAACTGGAGTCTGTGGAAAAGTTTGGGAAAAACCTGTTAAAATAAATAAACAAAAAAATAAAAATTAATGTTAATATTTAAATTGATTTAATACATTAACAATACAGTGCTGTAAGTGGGGGAAAAAATAATGTATCAATGGAAACTAAATATTAAGTCTTCTGAAGCAGGGATATATTAATATCATTGAGATGCTATTATAGTTTTTGTTCATATTTTTGGTGAAATTTTTACTAAATTTGGTGTGTGTGTGTGTGTACTGGTTTATATATCCTGGTGGGGACTTAAACCTGACTACACACAGACTCATGGGGACTCGTGTCACGGTGGGGACCTAAATTGAGGTCCCCACGGGTACAAAAGCTTATAAATCATACAGAATGAAGTGGATATATTAATATCACTGAGATGCTATTATAGTTTTTGTTAATATTTTTGGTTACATTTTTACTAATTTTGGTGTGTGTGTGTGTGTGTGTGTTTATGTCTACGTAGTTTCCATTAATTGTATTGGCCTTGGCAACTAGTTGAAATAAAAACAAGTTTTTTTTGTTTTGTTTTGTTTTTTTCCAACTCCAGGTTCAACATCATCATTTGGATCTGACAAAAATAAGAGAGGCATCTAAAAAAATGAGATGTTCGTCTTTTCACTGAACAACATTTGCATGGCTTCAAAATACAGCACACAAGATGTGAATTTGACTGCAGGACTACTTTTATGGTACTTTTTTGAACTGGACTTCCCTGTAGCCACTGACTTTCACTGTATGAATTCTGCACAGTATCAACATTCTGCACAACATGTTTATGTTCCACTGGCTTGGAATGACATGAGGGTGAGCAAATGGCACAATTTTCATTTTTGTGTGAACTACTCCTTTAAGATCCAGCCTACGCCTTTGTAAGCGCTCAGTCCAGCGCCACATTGCTACCGCAGCTCAAAACAGAGCTGCTGAGGTTGTATAACAAGTCTTGAATAATGTTCTAATTCACTCTTTGTTTCTGAAGTGATTTCATAACAGGGTTCGAGCACTTAGGTTCTCAATCTGCAACTGCTAAATAGAACTGAGCAATATCACACGAGTAGCAGTGCGATATGTGCTGTATATCGGCCTTAGGCACGAGCAACGGAGTGTCTTTAAAAACCCTTTTTTGTGCGCAGTGTTGCCAACTTAGCAATGTTGTTGCTAGGAAAAACCATTATGCCTTTGGAGAGTCCCCACAAGGATAGTGAACCAGACGTGTGTGTGTGTGTGTGTGTGTGTGTGTTTATGTCTACGTAGTTTCCATTAATTTTATTGGCCTTGGCAACTAGTTGAAATAAAAACAAGTTTTTTTGTTTTGTTTTTTTCCAACTCCAGGTTCAACATCATCATTTGGATCTGACAAAAATAAGAGAGGCATCTAAAAAAAAATGAGATGTTCGTCTTTTCACTGAACAACATTTGCATGGCTTCAAAATACAGCACACAAGATGTGAATTTGACTGCAGGACTACTTTTATGGTACTTTTTTGAACTGGACTTCCCTGTAGCCACTGACTTTCACTGTATGAATTCTGCACAGTATCAACATTCTGCACAACATGTTTATGTTCCACTGGCTTGGAATGACATGAGGGTGAGCAAATGGCACAATTTTCATTTTTGTGTGAACTACTCCTTTAAGATCCAGCCTACGCCTTTGTAAGCGCTCAGTCCAGCGCCACATTGCTACCGCAGCTCAAAACAGAGCTGCTGAGGTTGTATAACAAGTCTTGAATAATGTTCTAATTCACTCTTTGTTTCTGAAGTGATTTCATAACAGGGTTCGAGCACTTAGGTTCTCAATCTGCAACTGCTAAATAGAACTGAGCAATATCACACGAGTAGCAGTGCGATATGTGCTGTATATCGGCCTTAGGCACGAGCAACGGAGTGTCTTTAAAAACCCTTTTTTGTGCGCAGTGTTGCCAACTTAGCAATGTTGTTGCTAGATTTAGCAACTTTTCAGATTACCCTAGCAAATTTTTTTCTTCCAAAAGCACCTTGCAACAAATTTAGCTATTTTAGCTATTTATTTGGCAACTTTTGATAAGTGACGCAAACGATAAAAAGGCACACATTTTCCATCTAAATTACACAAAAAGAGGAAACCAAAGATGCCTAGCTGTACACACATCACATAAATTAAGGTAACTGCTATTTGCAATTGTTCAATAATAATTAGGTGTGTTCGGCTTGAAGTGGCGCTGCACAGACTGATCTAGGGGCCTGCCCAATCTAACTATTACTAAAATAAATTAATAATTTAGCAGCTGCTGGCATAAGTGATGTTCTCAGTGGAGCGGTGTGCTTGTATACTTGTATTATTAAATTATTATTATTTTACAAGACCTGGAGATGACTTGAAAAATGCACATAAACCATAAACATTTTTGGTTTGCAATTGTGTGTTTATTGTCTTCACGTTTCATCAGTCAAAACGTTTCAGCTTTTTATTCAGCTCATCTACAGCAGATATTGGTTTGCCTACAGTGATAGTTGTTATAAATAAAACGTCAGGTCATGCATAGACTATCACCTCTCTTTGAATTTAAATCCAGATTTATTTAGACTGGCCCGTGAAAACCTCAGACTTTACAGACTTTTCTTAGAGTGTAGCATACTAAGTAACTACTAATACACTGCTTAAAGGGGTCATATGATGCGATTTCAATTTTTCCAAAAAACAAGCTCTTGGTGCATAAAGAAGATCTGTAAGGTTGCAAAGACTAAAGTCTCAAATCCAAAGAGATATTCTTTATAAAAGTTAAAGAGTCAACCACGCCTACCTAAAATGCCTCGTTCTAACACGCCCCCACATGTCTACGTCACGATGTGGGAAGATTTGCATAACGCCGCCCAAATGTTCACGCAAAGAAAGGCGGCGTAACTTTTATTCTCGCTGTTGCCGCCGCTGCCATGTTGTGGAGTCACTGTGTGTTTCGTTGTGAAAGCGAAACTACTTTGTTTGGTCTTCCAAAAGAGGACGATATCCACTTCGTCATGCCTAGAGCTGATCTGTGCTCTCCTACTTATACTACACATTAGGGCTGCACGATATTGGAAAAAACTGACATTGCGATATCGTTTTTTGTGATATTGCGAAATACAGGAATGTTCATCAGATGTCTTGAATCGCTCAAAAATTAAATAATTAATAATTCTAGAATAATTGGGGTGATTTTGTAGGCATCTTCATTGAAAATAAATGGCATCACAGTATGTTAAGGGGCGTAACATTTCCGTCACACCTTGATGCATTCAGCCAATCACAACGCACTGGATAGCTGGCCAATCAGAGCACACCTCACTTTTTTAGAACGATGAGTTTTGTAAAAATCAACACGTTTCAGAAAGGTGGGGCATAGAGGACAAACAATAATGTACATTATATGGAAAATAATGTGTTTTTTTAACCTTAAACCACATAAACACATTGCATTACACCAAATACACAACATAATGTTCTTTTTAGCAACGTCACATGACCCCTTTAAAACTATAATTGTTCAGAATGTGTAGTTTTACTAGTTTACTAGCTATTAAAAAAAACTTAATTGTTCAGAAAAGTGTAAGTGTTCAATAATTGAATGTTGTATTTAAAAATGCAGTTATTTATATTTTTAAATTATTATATTATGCATTCATATCATTTTACAAACAAATCTAAATTTACATATATAAAATATATTTTTGCTGAGATCTGATGCAGTGACAATTTTGCGCCATGATTACATGATGACGTCAATGATTAAAAAAAACTTAATTGTTCAGAAAAGTGTAAGTGTTCAATAATTGAATGTTGTATTTAAAAATGCAGTTATTTATATTTTAAAATTATTATATTATGCATTCATATTATTTTACAAACAAATCTAAATTTACATATATAAAATATATTTTTGCTGAGATTTGATGCAGTGACAATTTTGCGCCATGATTACATGATGACGTCAATGACATCGCAACGTCATTTAGCAACTTTTAGCAACAAATTGACCTTCCTTTAGCAACTTCCCCTGAAAATTAGTTGGCAAACACTCTGTGCGTCCGAAATCGCGTACTGAGTAGGTACTACATTTGAATTTGAATTTACTTCATGACCGTTAAAAAAAGTATGTTCTATATAGAATGAATATGGATAGTATGAATGAAATTCGGACGTACTACATCCGCCATGTTGTTACTGTCACATGACCTACCAGCATCAGCTGCGTCGCTTCACTGCCATTCATAAATCCTCTCCCGTGGCCTCATGGGATAGTAAAGTGTCCATCGAATGTGCACTTCAGAATCCAGGCGGAAGAAGTAGGTCATCCAGGTACTTTTCGCTTACTGTTTTTTTGAATACTATTAATTTGGACATACTACTCGCCTCACATACTGTTTTTCGCCTACTATATAGTAGGTAAGTATGCGATTTCGGACGCAGCGAAGGTGTGGTTGAAATTAAAAATAACTTCCTTGTTTACAACCCTATTTCAGTCTCTTCCAATATAAAAGACTTTACTGCTGACTCATAAATTACCCCACTCACTCTCTTGTCACCTTCTGATCTAATGGCAGAACAATGTAACTAATCACCATCACGAACACACACCGTTTCCCAAAACTAAATACTATTATTAAATACTACTATTTATATAAAATATTATTAATTGAATAATAATATTTAATAAATGACAACAGCCATCATAAAAGTTGCTAGGCAATTCAGTCAAAAGTACAAAGGTGTCAGTGCATTAAAGTTACATAAAATATAACCTTATGGCTTATGAGACTTTGCCCTCAGCCAAAACTATTTGCTCTGGAACAAAAATATTAGATTAATGAGACCAAAGACTGCCTGTTAAATTTACCCAAAATTAATTATCTCCCAAAATTAATAATCTCATGTTTAACCACTATAGAGACATCAGAGCCAGCGGCAAATTCCAGAAGAACTGGCCGAGGTAAAGCTGCTCTCGGCAGGTTCATAAGCGCTGAACGGCTGCTGACGTCCTGGAGCTCACATCTCTGAAAATATCGAAGCAAATTTTCAAATAGACATTATCTTTATTTACAAACCGCATATTTGAAGTCTAAACAAGTACATTCTCACCTAAAAAACTCTTAAAACTACATTATGTGACACAAAAACAGTATTATTTTTTTAAATTATAGTGGATTTGGGCGTCCGCCATGACACTCGCTGTGAGAAATACTGCAAGCGGAGTAATACAAATGGTGAAACGGTTGGAGTTCTGTCATCATTAGAATGTCACACTCCTCTCAGCCAATCAGATTCGAGGACCAAAAAGAACTGTTGTATAAATATATATCATTAAATATACACTACTGGTCAAAAGTTTGGAATAATTAAAATGTTAATGTTATTAATGTTTTAGAGAAGTTTCAAAACATGAGAGGCCTCTTATGCTCACCAAGGCTTTCCTATTTGAATATATTTAAAAATATAATTTATTCCTGTGACACAAAGCTGATTTTTTAGCAGCCATTACTCCAGTCTTCAGTGTCACATGATCCTTCAGAAAAACTTGGTGCTTAATTATTATTATTTGTGTTTAATTATTATTAATTCTTATTATCAATGCTGAAAACAGATTTTTCTGCTTAATATTTTTTGAGATACTTATGTAGCATTATAAATGTTTTTCACCGTAATTTTTAATCAGTTTAATGTGTCCTGAAAAAAAGAATTAATTTCTATTGTAATTACTTTTTTTACTTAACCTAAACATTTGAGTGGTGTATCATAGTTTCCACAAAAATATTAAGCAGCACAACTGTTTACAACATTGATAATAAGAAGAAATCTTTCTTTGAAATCAGCATATTAGAAAGATTTCTGAAGGATCCTGTAACACTAAAACCATTTTTTCTTTTTCTTTTTTTAATATAGTCACAGCATTCAGTAAGTATTTCAAAAGTAAAAATCAACTTGGGACTCACTGTTTGAAGGTCATTGCAAAAAAAAAAGGGCTCAGAAAAAGGAATTTACTTCTGAGAAAAGCATCCTTTGTTTACAGATAACCATTGGTTTGGCATTCGGTTATCTAATGCAATGAAATTCAGACAATCTTAAGAGTGTCCAAATACTTTTTGGGGCCACATTATAAAACACTTCTTGATCTGAGCTCAGAGAAATCAGAGTATCTGAGGAATTCTCTTTCTAGGTCATGGTTTTTATGGCACACCACATCCTCAAAAAGGTTCTCTTAATGTTACTGCTAAAAGCTAATCAGACATGATTATAAGAGATGTCCCATTTCATTTTAGTCATCATTAAATCATACCAGCATTACTACAGCAATTTACTTTCCTTTGAGGCAATGTTTTAGACTCTACCAAAGCCACAGTGGAAAGTTGTGCGAATCGAGGGCTTGGTGTTTGGTTTCGCAGAATGTGTGGGTGCGTAGGCAGGTGAGATACTCACTCGTGGAATGACCTCCACCGCTGAGGCAGCCATGGCTGCCGCTTTGGCCTTCTCTGCCTCATCGTAAGTGGGCAGAGACGTGGCAACGCTGTATGGTGGAGGAACGGGAAAGTCCCCCAGAAATGTGCTCTCTAAAAAGCGATTAAAAACACAGGTCAGCCATACGCCACACATTTCTAGCTATGAGTCTTCCAAACAATGAGTCTTCCTAACACAGAGTCAATCACAATTACTATTGCTCATATTTGGAAATGTAAATAAGCCCATAATGCAAAGTACCAAACGGTGATGCATAACTTGCCATGCAGTGATCAGACTTATGAATTTCGCCTTATGGTTGCTAAAACAACTGACAGACATATACTGAGCCAAACCTAGAGACCAGAATATCATCAAACTTGGCCCTTTAGACTAGTGGTCGACCGATATGGGTTTTTTGACAGCCGATACCGATCGTATGCTGCATTAATTGCATAAAATACTTTTAACACGTCAAACTGCAGAAAAAAATTAATTCATTCATTAATCGCACAATTAACGTGTTATTTTGACTGACAACCCTAACGTTTTCAGATTAAATTTTCTACATTTTCTTTACAGCATCATGGGTAAAGTAGTTTTTTCACCAGGGATTCCCCTGTCAAACACGATTATTTAAAATATCAGTTGAAATAATGCAAATTGATGGCTTCAGCAAAACCACATTACTGTCGATTAACAACAATGATGTCGTTATAATATTGCCATACTGAATCTAGTAGATTCCTGCTCTAACTCCGGAAATAATAACTTTTTCCAGGTGTCTGTACCTGGTGCAGCTGTTGCTCCAAGCACCACGCTGGTATAAGGAGGAGGCGGAGCTTCCGCATCCATTGCGGGGTTGCTGATGCCTACGACAGCGGCAGCGGCCTGGGAGGATGTGGACGGCTCGACACCTGCGGCCCCTTCAGAGGGCTCGTCCTCATTGTGCAACTGAGGAAAGACAAAAACACATATTTTCAGACTGAAGAAACGTGACTCTAAGGCCCAATCCCAATTCAATTTTATACCCCTTCCCCCTTGAAACAGAGTGTCAAGGGGTAGGAGTGAAAATATTCCCCTAAGAATTGGGACACCACTACTATACATCACACGTCATCATACGTCGTCTAGCTCCTACAATACACAAACCTATACTGGTGTGCTGGTGTGTGCATTAGAGCCTTTAATTACTGTTCTATATTAATG